TCCTATATCTGTGCATTTCATTTTTACTGTCCAAGTGTAGTATCCTACATTTCTCCATGTTGAAATTCATTTTATTTGTTTTTGGCCCAGCCTTCTAATCTGTTAAGGTCCTCTTGAATTCCAATCCTGCACTCGGGGGGTATTAACAACTCCTCCTAATTTAGTCTCATCTGCAAATGTCTTTTCAGATCTTGTTGGATTACTACTGGCTTATGCCCAAGGATGGTGGAAAGTTTAGCCCAGCATTTGAATGTCCACAGGTTCCGCACGCCCAGCTTCAGGCTTCTGAATTTTCAAAGGACAAACTATGTAGTTTAGTTAGCATTCTGTTCCAAGGAAGCATTTTGTAAGAGAAGGAGGATTCTTGAAATAATAAATTAAATGGTGCAGAAGCATGTGTGGGGCTTATGTACACTGCAGTGTAATAATAATAATTTATTTATAGCCCGCCCAATCACAAGGAATCAGGTATACATATATATCATCTGTTGTACCTAGGCTGCCTTGTTTATTTCAGCAGAGGCATAAGAGCTATGTGCATGACTTTTAACCCAATAAGCCAAATGCATGCCACTGATGAAGCTCAGTTGGGCAGAACTACAAAAACAACAGGGGTTGGAGGCCACAGTATATGGCTGATGGGACCTGGGGCACACCATTGTATTGCAATCCTGTTCTATGTATGCCTGCTCAGAAATACTTCCTACTGAGTTCAGTTGTACTTACTGTGAGGTAAGAAAGTCTGTGATTATAGCCTAAGGCTGCAAAACTGTGCTGCTTACTTGGGTGTATGTCTTTTTGATTCAACCAGATCTGAACATATGATCACAGGTATGGGTTGCACATCACATGAATTTCAGTCCAAGGTACTCCAAACTACTGTGACTTTTTCCTATTTTCTCAGGTGTAGGCATCTACTAAAAAAAAGTCAGTGAGAGTTTTGAAATAGACACCAACGATTAGAAAAGTGCATAAAGGATGAAATTAACAATCCTGTATCCCAAAGTTTTTTTCAAAAGTATTCCAGGGCTATTCAAGGTTAATGGATTATCTACACTGTGAAACCATTACAAAGGTCCCTGCTAGACAAGCCCAAAAATCTGTTCTCAACTTTACTCCATCTTGGGTTCCTAAATGTTGAAATATAACTCCTATAGTTGCTAGCCAAACTGGCTAGTGCTTGGGGATAGTTTGATATATCAGTTCTAGCAGTTTTCACTTCGATAAGGAATGGATCATTTCTAAAGCTAATGGGTCTTAGTTGCTTCAAACCTGCCCAAAATGTTTTGAATTTCAAGAGGGATGGTGCACAATGATATATTGGCTGGGGGTGGGGTAGATCCCCCTGACCCTAATATGACATTTATAGCTAAGCTAAAAGGTGACAGGGAAGTAGCGGCGGTGGTGGTGACATAATCATCCCTGCGAATCAAAAAAAGCCCCAGTGCTTCAGACTTGTGATCCCAGCTTCCATTTATCACTGAGAACAATCAAAATTGTACTCCAACATTTTGGAGTCTGAAGTTAGAGATAGCTGCTTTATCTAGATCAGTATCCTATTTCCAATACTGGGCATCCAGATGTTCTCCTGGAGCCCATAAACAAAACATGAAAGCAACAGTCTTTGCCTCCTTCCTCGTTTATTTTACTCTGGAAACTGATATTCAGTGCTATG